TCTCAGTTATATCATATCTTATTCTGAGACAGTGGATTCTGTGTAAGCCAAAAGATAGATAATTCCACTAATATATCACTAAATATTAGTAGAAAGTGATGTTTTACTTCCTTCAAGGTTAAATAACCTGCACAGGGCCTAGTGGGAAGATGGTAGTAACATGTAAGCCTACCACAACTTCTTTCAGTCACACTATCACTTCAAATAGAAGAGAATATATATATACCTCAATGTTGAACTGTGGAGTCCTTGGTGCTTTCTGAGTTTTGTTATTTGCTTGCAGACATTTCATTTCCCAGATAGGTAACATCATCAATGCTAGTGAGTGTGGGGCTTGCTCCTCATTTATAGACAGTAGCTTGGCCTGCCAGTGTTGGCAGAGGTAATTAGAGATTAGAGTATTGTTTTCTGATAATTTGCCTGGTATTAATCCTTGCTTATTTGAGTGTTGGATGATAGAGTGTTCTAATCTTTTTGTTACCTTCTTAGGTTTTTTATCTTTTGTATATTCAAAAATAGCTCTATTACTATTATCCTTCTCATCTTTCTATTATACTACTCCTATATAACTTTGTTGGTTGTACCTTATGAATTATGATTGCATCTTATGATTTATCACTTTGTTGCTTGTATGTACACTGAGAGCTTATGCACTGGAGACAAATTCCTTGTGTCTAATAACACTTGGCCAAATTCTATTCTGTTCTGTTCTGTATAAATATTGTTTATCTCTATCTCATGCAGGTAAACCACTTTTACTACAATTATAACTAATTTCTGTGGAATTAGTTTCAATCCTCTATATATGAAAAGACCCAAGATAAGCATATATTATAATCCCAGTTTAAAAATAGAGATTACATCAGGTTTGGGAAGGCAGTGAATAACCCATTCCTCTCATAATGTAATTTCTTTGGGTCAACTTAGTGCTGCAGAAATTGGATTTAAAACTTTTGTCAAATGGACAAATGAGTTTGATTTAGCTCTGGGCTACATATTCAGTTTAAGCACATGTTTATTTTACTTGGTTTAGACACAAATGTTACTCTACCTCCATAGTAGAGAGATATTCTGGAGAAATTATGTTTATTTCTTAAGCCATTCTTTCTGGGGAAACTGAAGAAATTAATATTAGCTATTCATTTTATAACAAGCTTATCGAAAGAAGTAGAAAATCAATGCACAACATGAAATTAGTTTCCTATGACTTGAAAATGAGCTTAATACAGTTTCTTTCATATATCCTGGACACTTCAGAGGTTATTTAATAGGGTTGGTGGTAATCACTCTGCTGTTAGAAATGTTATTCTGAAATTGGAATAGTAACCTATGTGATTTGGTCATTTCCTACTATTGTTGCATTGAGGGCTAAGATTAGTTGGATTATTGGTTTTTGATTCTGGATCAACTGCTTTGCATTAAGACTGCATATCTTCTTGGCTATAACCACAGTATATACAATTTATCAACATAATCTACAATTGCAAATTTTCAGGCCGAGGATTGGATAAAACCATTATTATAGAAATCTGAAAATATAGCTTTGTACCTAGTTGGCAGCATTGATGTTAAGATCTGAATTTCTTTCTTTTTTTTTAAAGGGAGAAATGAATGACTTTCAAACAATGTGATTGGTGACTGAAGTTCTGTTTATAACAATTTCCTAGGTCATCTCCTCCTTTTTCCTTTCTTTTTTCTTTTTCCTCAATAGCTAAGCTTATTCATTTTACGGCTTGTTAATCATTTAATGTTGTTCTACGCATTTCTACTCTCATTACTTTTCATGATAAATCTACTATTACACTAATAAAATTTAAATATAGTTATATCCCGTACTTTGATCCTACCTGTTCATCTTTTGATACCTTACTGGTCACTCGAGTGCAATAATTAAGATATAAGGTAAGTTTCAACAGAAGAGGCTGACATTCAGTTCTCTCTTCTAATGACACTGTCTGTGATGGACTGGAAGAAAACACTTAGATATGGCAACCAAACAAAATCATAAGTCATCATCTTTAGAAGTAATTAAGGGTAAGTGGAGAAATTCTGCTACTACATTTCCATTCCTCACCAGCATCCATTTTATGCTTAAAGTTAGAAGTTAAAAGTTAAAAATATCCCACATTTATCTATAAAAAGACATAAATATATGAAGTAATTTCTTATGAGATATTTCATGGGTTGAGAGGAATAGAACCAATAATTACTAAGTATATAGTTCCTTTTGCTTCTGGGGAATAGCAAAAATAAAAAAATCTTTTACGCACATTTATATCTGGTTCTTTTCCCAGATTTTTAAAAATGATGTTATTTTAATGACGTTTTCAAAAATTAGTAACAATTCCAGATGTTATGATGGAGAAAACAGAAGTCAGCATGGATGTTTCCCCGCCCCACACACACACACACACACCTTCAACTACTTCACAAATAACAACATCAAATCATGGATACTGAAGCAAAACTTTTGTGGCCAAACAACATGTGCATAATTGTAGAATTGCGTAATTGTAACTATGGAATTCAAGGATATCTTGTGCTAGCAAGTAAAAGGAGAATAGGCAAAACAAGCTGTATTGCTGGAGCATTACATTCAATGATATTGCAAGTAGTATTAGTGTTATCTAAAAATAGACAGCTGTTGCGTTGATCTTTCACAAGACTTCTCATTTGCTGAGAAGAAAGCTAGAAATTGGTTTTAATAGAAGATCTTAAAGGGAAATATCTAACATTCAAATCATTTTCTCCTATCATTGATATCCTTAGCATTTATACATATAGTAAAGTTGGAAATTGTAGCCAAATACTGTCAAGAGGCTGTACTGGTTACAAATTGAGTCAGCAGGTGTGGGCTTTTGCTTTGCTAATCAGATAATCCTTTAATTCTAGCATGTAAAGGTATCCAATACTAAAAAATATATGTAGCTCCGGGTTGGAACCGTTGAGTTCTTGGTGTTCTCAAAGCTTGGTTATTTTCCAGCCAAGCTTAGAGAATATCAAGAACCCAATACGTAAAGGTATGTGCATGGAATTTCCACTCAGATGTTACATACTGGATACCAACAGTTTCACCTCACTGGCCATTACTTAAATAGAGATATGTCTCCAGAAGCAGGATATAATTCCATTCAAGCATTCCCCATACATGTATCTTGAAGAGAATCCAGGCAAGATCCCAGCATGATACCATTAGCCAGACTTTCTACTAACCACTCACAAGGCAGGCAGCTACATAAGGAAAGCTTTGAGACTTCTATGTTAAATGTTACTTACTGCTTACTTACTGCTATATAAGACTGTAGATAGATCAGCAGAAGAGTTCTATTGCTTCATTCTCCATTAAAAAGATGTGCATGGGCATATTCCCTTCCCTTCTCTCCCCCCCCCCCCCAAAAAAAAGATTGTTCTGATATTTCTGGTTTTTAAAATGGAATGTTTCTCCTATTTTATTTTTAAAAAAAACTTTCCAGCTATCAAGATTGCCTGTTTAATGCAGATGGTAAATCAGGACAGGTGTGTGGTGTTCAACTTTTCTGTTTCATTAGAAAACGTGGAATTACAGAGATCCCAAGTGAAACTTCTTACAATTATTCTGAAATTAGCTGATTTTTCATTATGCAGTTGAAAGAAACTTTGTTCAAAGATAAATTATCTTCCCTGTATCATTCCAATTTTAGTGTATATGCTGCCGAAGCGAGCGCTTCAAAGATAAATTATCAATATTACGAGCTGTGATGATTTCAGGTAGGTGTTAGTTTATTTGCATGCCAGCAACAAGTACTAACTTCTAGAGAAAGAATTGTGTGAATTGTTCCATATTCAGCAGAACCAGATTCAAGATTCAGAGAAAGTGAATCATCAATCAGAATACAGTGATTAGATCCCTTAAGTTATCAGGATTTCTGTTAATTCTCTCTCTTTCAGCCAGATATACAAATGAGTTCATCAGTAGACTGTCTCCTATCCTGAACACTAAAATCAATTAGCAGATTTTTAAATGATAGTCATGATGCAGCATTAGGATAAGATAGACCAGCTGGCTTTCTTGATGTCACAATTCATACTTTACCAACATAACAGAAAATTTCCCTTGATAGTAATGCTGGTAGTTAATTCAAACCTCAGTCAATATTTCATTCATTTAGTCACGGCAATTCTGGGATATATTTCAAGAAATTTCTACTTTTTGTCAGCTCCTAGTAGGTGATTCAGAAAAACAGAGATTCATGACCAACTTAAAGGGAGGCGATCAAACAAACAAACAAACAAACCTGATTAACCTAACACAGGCAGAGGGGAGCAATGGAAAACATGCTCTGGGCTATGCTTCTTCCTTTGATGGGCAGCTATGATACTACAAAGTTTAATAACCTCTCTGATGCAAAAATTAACATTTAATTATTGAGTGTTACATTTATTTCTTTTTCAAACCTAATTCTAACAAATCCATTAGTTTTAATTTTTAAGGGAGAATCTGACATAAATTCATTTTTAATTTGAGGGATCAGAGTGCTACACAACTTGAAATCTGCTGCTCCAAATTGTCCTCAAAAATACTTCATCTATAACTTCCTTAAGCATCTATACATCTGAACTATTTATGTGCTCAACAGAATGTCCGCAAATGGAACTTTAACCCTTGTCATGTTTGTTCAATATATAGTTATATATGTATCCTGCATAAGTTTATGTGCTGGAACTGAAAAGCACTAAACAGTGTTGTTCAAACATTGAACAGCACCTTGAACAATCCTCTCTCAAACTATTCACACAAGTGTTTGTTGTTTGCTTTTAGCGTTATACGTACATCACAGGAAAGAAATAGCAAGAAGCACAATTAGAGGTAAGATACAAGTTGCGTATTTCCATATTATCACTGGATATAGACACTGGATAAACTACTGTCTATTTTTGCTGCACTGAGTTCCCATGATCCTGAGAGAGGCTATCTCATGCACTTGTTGGGCAGAACCTCTGTCCTTATCAGCCTCACTTACCTTAGCATAGCAAAAGGAGATGAGCAGCAGAGGTAGCAAATAGCCAAAGATGAAGGTACACAAGACATACACTTTCTTGTGCTGGAGATTGGGCCACACTTCCCAACAAAAAGTCTGGTTGAGGAATTTTTCATGGACAATGTGCTGATGGTGAGCCACAGGGGAAGCCATGGCAATAGAGAGAAGCCAGATGACCCCTACCCCCAAGAGCGCATTACGGGACACCCGCACGGATGAGGAGCGCCGGGAATGCACGATGGCCACATAGCGGTCCACAGACATAGCTGACAGGGTAAATATGCTGACCAGCATGGAGACAGTGAAGAAGTAGTGGATGAACTTGCAGATGAAGGTGCCCAGAGACCAGTTGGGCAACATGTACACGGTAGACTGGAAAGGAATGCAGAAGAGTAAGTAAGTCAAGTCAGCGATGCTCAAGTTGAGCACAAAAATGTTGGTGGTGCTGCGGGGTTTGCCCGGCTTGCTCCTGGCCAGCACCGTGATGACCAAAGAATTGCCCATCACTCCCAGGGTGAAAATGAGGCCGAAGGCAATCAAGGTGATAAAATTCTCGACGCCAATTTCAGAGAGGAAGCCGGCTTTCTCCTTCTCTGAGGACTGAGGGAGGGAGGACCGGGAGGCATTGAAGTCCAACCAGGGGGGCGAGCCCCAGCTCTGATTCCTGTGGCTGAAAGCGGCGGGGGCTTCTGCTGCCATGCTCCGCGCCGTCTGGGAAAGCAAACTCGGAAGGCGACGGGTCCCGCGTGGCTCCCACGAAAATCCTCTCGGAAAGATGCCCCGGCGAAGCTCTCCGCTCTCCCTCGCTAAACTCAGCGGGGAGAATCCAGAGGCTGAGCCCTCTTTCCTCGCCTCGCCCCCGCTCCGGGTCCCCCCCGCGCCTACTAGCAGCTCAGAGGAGGGAAGGGGAGACACGAGCCGGCGCTGCTTCTTGCTTGTCAAAGAAGCTCCACGCGCGCCCAAAGCTGTTGCTTTCCCACGACCGCGCTGTCCTTCGTTTCAGTCCGTCCCTGCCCTGCTGCTCCTTAGCAGTGGGGAACTTCCCACAGTTGAGCCTGAGCTGAGCGTGGAAAGACTTCTGTTTTTTTTTTTTTCTGGGACCCACTGCCAGCCCTTGGACGCCACCCGGGTCAGACTCCTGAGGTTCACAAAGCCCGACCGCTTTGGCTGCCTCCCTTTCCCCGCCTTCCTGGCCCCAGCAGCTGAACGCGGAGCTTAGCCGGGCACTCAGGCAGCGACTGTCCAGCAGCAGCCGGCGTGTGTTGGCTGGCGCCCTCGCTGCTTTTTCCTCCTCATTTCTCCCAATATCACGCTCCTCCCTCAGCTTGCTTGACGTAGGGTGAACTCTGGCAGCCAAATCAGGGGCCAGGTCGGCTTCCCACGTTTCCTGCACCCACGTTCAGTGAATAAAACCCGGGTCTCTACTATCTCCCCCCCACCCCGTCTCTCCAAGGAAACGCTGCCCTTTCCCCTGCCTGGAATCAGCCCATGCAAGAATCCGGTGGGATTGATGGGAAAAGATCTATCATGTTCCTTTTATGATGTTCTTTTCCTTTCCTCTTCATTTTGGCCGAGGCCACCTCAACCTAGCCAGGCATATAGTAAATTATACTCAGGATAATGTAACTCGGTCTGGATTTTTGTTATTTCCAATATGTGTTTCTTTTCAAGAAGCCCAGAGCTGCATGTAAGCTTTCCCTCCCATCATATGCTGGGTGTAACCCAGTAAGGTAGGTTGGGTAGAGAGAGACAGAGACAGAACAAGGCAAGCTAAGAAGCATGAAAGCATCCTGGTTTTTTTAATTCAGATTTGTAACTCTCTCTTTTCACCAAGGAGACAAGAAAATAGCCCCAGTTCAGAAAATGCAACCAAAGGTCAGTTGTTAGCACAAAACTAAGGGTTTTATTTTTGCTGACAAGTTGAAATATATCATTTTAGCATACAGAAACAAAACACATAAAGTTTTGCCGCATAATGGTATCATCTTTTTCATTTCTGCTTGGTTGCAATGTCAAAACAACAAAACCAAATAAAACAAAACTCTCTCTGTGGTTGATCTCACAACAACACTGGTAGAAAAAAAGTTTGCTGTTCTGATACCTTGTTATTGCTATTCTATTAATCTGCTTTTATAGGATCAATTGTATACTGCATTTTCCTTTCAATCCATGCTCTGTATTGTGACCTATCTTAACTTGTAAATCTAAGAATCCTTTCATTAAAAGTAAATGCATTCTTAGAAGATTCTCTTAAAGCAACTTCATTCGGTTATTTAATGAATGAACAAACAAGAAATGTGAACACAAGGGGAAAAAAAATACCTTCATCTTTTGCACCCATGTTTTCCTGAAGCAAACTTTATCTTGTTTATTTTTATTAAGTTATTTAGTTCTTTGTAGTGACTGTCCTTCTCCCCTCAGAACACAGTGCCCTTGGATTTGTTTTCTCTCTTAAAAATGTCACCAAAGTTCCATTTTGTGTTCTCAATAGCCAGCACAAGACAATCTGTATCCATTAGCACTCTACACATTACTGTCATTTTGCAACTGTTTGTTAAGTACTAGAAAAAAACCTATGTCTTTGATATATCAAAGACTATATCAGTATCAATATCAAAGACTAAAATAAGTCAGTACAATTCATTTCACAATTCTTGCCTGCTGCCCAATAGCATGATTTAGTTTGTACAATAATATGGGATATAGCATGAAAGTCTAAAATGAATTCAGCCCTAAGACTCTACACAATAAATAATAAATAACTAGAAAATATAGACTTGATGTATTTTTATTTGAAATTTTTATTCTTGTTATCTATTCTTCCCCAAAATCAGGGTATACTCTTCAATTGTGAGTGGCATGTGAATTAAGTAAATTTATGTGTGTGCATGTATCCATCTATTAATCTATGTATGGAAATTATCAATAAAAATATTCCTTTGTATGTGGGATTGTATGACTGCTAATCTATTCCAATGTTCTTAGCATATTTTTTAAAAAATGTGTTAAGTTCTGTGTCTTTTGGACTTCTGATAAATAGATAAAAGTACTTTATCTTTTTATTTTCTTTCTTCAATTATATTTAAAAACCAGGTCCTCAGCAGTAGTACTATGAATTCCCAAGTACTATAGTTAGGATGTCTACATTTTCAAGGGAAGACTCATTTGTAAGGCAATTCATCAGGAGCATTTTAAAGTAGTAATTGATCACATCATCCTTACAAGAAGCAGTAGATGGAAACTAACCAGAGAAAGGATCAACCTAGAAATAAGGAGAAGTTTCCTGACAGAACAATTAATCAGTGGAACAGCTTCAGGAGTTGTGAATGCTCAACACTGGAAGTTTTTAAGAAGAGATTGGACAACCACTTATCTGAAATGGTATAGGGCAGGGGTAGGCAACCTCGGCTCTTTTATGACTCATGGACTTCAACTCCCAGAATTCTGGGAGTTGAAGTGCATGAGTCATAAAAGAGCCGAGGTTGCCTACCCCTGGTATAGGGTCTCCTGCTTGAGTAGAGGATTGGACTAGAAGATCTCCAAGGTCCCTCCCAGCTCTGTTATTCTGTCTGGTAATGAAGAAAAGCTTTCTAACTTCATCGTAAAAGGCAGAATCATTGGAAGTTGGACAGCATACAAATTCAATAATCAATATTTTATAAGACTTCTTTGGGGGAAATCTTTAAAAAGGAAATAGAGACAAATAGAAAAAGGATCCATTTCTTGGGGGATCTTCCTCATATGACAATCCCCATAGATCCATGGTACTGTTTGTTTCTTCCCAAGCTCAAATCATCCAATAAGTTTTAAAGTTTCTGTTGCTGCCAACTACTTTACACATTGCAGCACATCAAAAACAAGCACTGTCCAACTAATTAAAAGCCAACCTGCAACTGCACATTAATGAATTTGCATCTATACCTAAATCACCAAGAGTGATTATTTCTAGTGCAATATTTGGAAGGACAGTTAGTCAGGAGCACAAGTAACCTCCAAACACCACATATATTGTAAATAAAGCTATTCTGCCTTCCCATCTTCTGGTGATATTCAGTCACACCATCTAGAAAAGAAAATGAGTGATATACGGATACTATTCTAATCCAATTAAGTTTGTCAGTCAAGTATTCTTCAGCACATGCACAGAGCCAGAAATGTGATTGCTTTTAAAAGCCAATAATAACAACCAAAGCAAAAAGCATTTGTAAAAGCTGGGAAGGTCAGTGTGATTCTTATTTTTTTTAGTTATCTGAATATTTAGTTATCTGAAAATAGAAATAGATCCCATTTCTATTTATTTTAGACTTTCCCTTTTTAAAATGATTGATTGTAGATTTTATTTTTTTAAAATTATGATTTCTTGTCAATTCTTTGAAGAATGCTCAGCTGTGGATAATAATCTAAGAATGTATTTGCTTTTATTATTTTCCTTAAGTTTTTTTTTTAAAAAAAAATCTTAATTTGTGGTTTTGTCTATCCTTTGTTAATTTAAGAAAACTCTGGGCCTTTTGTTGCCTTTTTAATTTAAAATGGCTTTAACACCTACCTTTGCACTAATGAAATTGTATCTAATTTGTGCTAATGATGTTACATCTAATTGTCTAGTTTGCCTTCTGAACAATATATTGTCAATTTTACAGACAAATGTAAGCCTGACAGTTTCCTTTTTAAGGTGTGAATCGAATTACTTGCCTCAGTTTCCTTCTTCTGCAGTAAGGGTCTCTTAGACTCAGTAGCTATATTAGAAAAAGAAAGAAGGTCCAAAGAACCATGTCATTCATTCACCAACCAAGGCTTTTCTACGCAATCAGTCATTCCTGTGTATTCAGAGGATTACTTTACATGGGTTGAATTTTTTTATTCTTATCCAATCCTTAAAAACATTAATATTGCAGGCATTTTAAGACTGAGTTCTACTTCAAACTCTGGACAAACTGTGCTTCTGACAGTTCAAGTACCCAACTTTGTCCAAGGAATGGTATACCTAACAGCTGGATTAAGTTGGGTTGGCTATCATGGTTATAAGGCCATAGATTTTTTTCCTTCCAATGCAAAAGCCAGTATAACAATAGTCAACTTGTTGCTGTCATAATGCAAGGTTTATTTGGTTTTGGGATCTTACAAAAGAGGACGATAATGAGATTCACTTGGCTTCATCTATATTGATATTGATTCCCTTGAGTCTAGAGAATCACTCAAAGTAACCCACAGAGTGATTGCACATCAACTGCCACTGTCTGCAAGTTCTGTAATATATATTCTTTACGAAAAAGACTTAAGCAATTATTTATCTGCTTAATTACTACAATTGTGCTGAACTTTAATTGGTTACTTTGATGAAATGTAAATGGAATGCCTCTGGGAAACAAAACCATTAGGTGACACACACACACAATTTCTGAACAATTGACTAGCTGCATCTCATCTCTTTACTTCAACTGAGACAATAGTTCATCACATACTCATACTTCAGGAAGAAGCAAGCAAGCCAATTCTCAACATTGACTAAGGTTTACATATGACAATTTTTTTTACACAGGATTGTGGATCTGGATGATTCATGTATCATACCTGTGCATTAGTACACACTATTCCTTATTTAGAGCGAATTTTCTGCTACCAGGAGGATCCTTTCCTACTTTAGGTTTCTCAAAGATTTAAATAATTTCTTTGAATAGCTTGTTATCAATGAAGCATGG